AGCTTGGAGCGAACTGGAATTATGGGGATGCTCTTGAGTTTCCCTTGTCCAAAGATTTCTGAATCTCTGGACAAACCCCTTTAACAAACCCCCTTAGGGGTTTTGGACTGCAAGAGGGTAGACCAAGCCAGAGCTTGGACAACTGAGGCTAATGAGTGGGATTATTATTTCATGGCCTGGTTAGCAGAGCGAATTCCCGAAGACGCTGTTATGGAGCAATAAGTGCTTGAGCATCACTTGTTCTCTGGTGTCAGGCACCAAGCTGGCTGGCCTGTGAGATAGGTGAGGAATGGGATATCATTCCCTCCATCCCCTCTTTGCCTGCCTGGAGCAGTCATCGCACCTGATAGGAACAAGGAGGGTTTGGGAGTTACCATCCAGACTGACGGCTTTAAACCTAATTTTCGTTCATAGGGCTGTCATCTTCACCTAATTCCTCCGGTTGAGCACCCCAGGATAATTTAACCACTCTTTCTCTTTCCTTTGTCCTAGGGGAAGAGACTTAGATGGCCAAGTTGCCTGGTGGACTTTGGATGGACATTCCTTCCTTACCTTTGCCTTGGCATAGAGTGGTTGGCCTAGGAGCCAGGCTGCTAGGGTTCAAATCTTGGCTCCACTGCTTACTGGCTGTATGACCTTGGACAAGTAGCTTATCCTTCTCTGTGCTCTGGGAGGATAAAAGAAGTCCCAGAAAGAGATGAGAGTGGCTCAGATACAGAAGATAGGGTCCGGGGAAGGAGATGCCTTTCCCAGCCCTTGCTAAAAGGGCTGGAGGCTGCAATAGGCAGAAATAATCCACCCCCAACTCTCCTCCTGGTAACCCCCGCCGCCCCACAGCTTTCCCATACACCCCCAAATCTGATGAGGGCCCTTGGGAAGATGCTGTGTTAGGACTCTTCCCTGAGGCTTGCTAGTTTTAAACACCAGGTGTAACTGCAAAGATGGTGATGAAGGCTGGGAGAAGCCTGATGAGAGATAAGTCCCAAGCCCTCAGCGCCGCTCAGGCCCAGGCTGGGTGCCAAGGCTGGCTTTTCTTTCCAGCCCTGGGGCCTTGAGACTCAGCTTCTAAAAGCAGTTTTTCCTTGGCCATGGTCATCTAAGCAGAGGCTGGCCTAGACCCTGCACTTGGATCCTTTTGTGGTGAGCCAGTGGTCCCCACCCAGCTGCTCTCCTTCATGGGTTATCCTCTGCCAGGGATTTGGGCTGGTTCTAGGATGCTGGAAAGGTATGCTCGTGTGTGTACACCTCAAATCCAGGATCTCACTGTTGGAGGGGCCTTTACTGGCCCTTGGCTGACCTCTTCACAAGGAGAATGAAGAAAGCTGAGAAGTGACATACTTAGTTTGAGAGGAAACAGACCGGCTAGGGTTCATGAGGCTTGAATTGAGTCCTAGCTGCACTCATTTGCTGGATGACCATGGGCTAGTCATGTCCCCTCCCAAAGCCTCAGTTTCCTCCAAAAGCTCCGCTTGACTGTCTGAGTGTCTCCTGAGCATGGATGACCCTAGGCATCCCTGACTTTGTCCGTGAAGCTCGGCAGAACACAGGCCTTGCAGCCAGACCACCTTTGTTAGAATCTCCAACTCACCACTCCCTAGCTAAGGGACTTCAACAAATTCCTTCCTCTGTAAGATGCAGATAATATACCAACTCATAGAGTGTGAGGAATAAATGAGTTCTCAATGCCTAAGGCACAGAAAGGGGGCTCAGAGTGTTGGCTGTTACCGATTGCAGGGTATCCATGCACGTATGGGTGTGTGTATATATGAATGCTCACGCCTGGGTAGGTATGGCTGGGAATGAACATCAGTCTTTGCATCTCACTCTCCACACTTGCTCCAGTGGCTTTTGGAAAGTTCAAATACATCTTGGAGACTGGGGAAGGAGACTTAGTAGGAGGAGTCAGGGTGGTGTGGTGTTGGGAGGTGGGGGAAGGGGTGGGACAGAGGAAAGATTTCTCCAAATCATCAGTTGCTTTAAAAGAAAGCCTATATTTAGCTGGTCTTAGAGGGCCTGTAAATATGTATTTTGCAAGGCAGACAGCCATAGCCATGGGAGCTCCAGAGATATGCAGGGAGGTCAAAGAAAAAAAAAAAATAATCAGAAAGATTAGGCAATATATTTTGTCATCAGCAGATTCAAAGAACTCTTTCTACTGCCTGCTCCCACTGCTAATAATACACATTTCTGTGTTTTGATGGTTCCTATGTTTCATCTGTTCTCTGGATCTTGTGCAGTGGGTGCCTGTGAAGGCAACTGGCTCTCAGAGACACCTTTTCCTGCCAGCCTTTGCCTCATCTGCCCTGGGTCAGGGGAAATAGCATCCTGCCATCTCCATCCCCTGTGGCCTGCCAGGCTCTGCTGGCGCAGGTACAGGCTCCACAGCACCAGCTCACAGGTTTCCCATTGTGCAAAGCACTCGGGTGGCTTTGGGGGTGAGGTGTGGGGTGAGAAATCCTGCCACTTTGGGGCATTACTACTTCAGAGACCTCTTCTTCCTACAAAAATGTTCATGAATTATTCTTATTTTTTGTTTTTTACTTTTACTTTGAAAAGTTTCTTTAAAAGTAAAAGGCATTTGGCCGGGCACGGTGGCTCAGCCCTGTAATCCTAGCACTTTGGGAGGCCGAGGTGGGCAGATCATGAGGTCAGGAATTGGAGACCAGCCTGGCCAAAATGGTGAAACCCTGTCTCTACCAATAATACAAAAATTAGCCGGGCGCGGTGGTGCGTGCCTGTAGTCCCAGCTACTTGGAAGGCTGAGGCAGGAGAATTGCTTGAACCGAGGAGGTGGAGGTTGCAGTGAGCAAAGATCACTTCACTGCATTCCAGCTTGGGTGACAGAGTGAGACTTCATCTCAAAAAAAAAAAAAAAAAAGTAAGAGGCATTAAAAGAATCATGTTACAGAATTTACAAAAGCTAGCCATGTACCATTTTTGCTTTGGGTTTCTACATATAAAAGAGAACATTCTAACTTGAGTAAAGCCCCCTTTTCTTTCTCCCCAGTCCCATTGCCCACCTCCCTCCACACTCACAAATTTGGAATACAGCTTTTCTAGACCATAATTTTTGCATGACTAGATTTTAATTGTAGCAAACTAGCGATACAAAACTCACCATTTTATGTGTACAGGTCATTGGCATTAAGTACAATCACATTGTGCAACCAGCACCACTATCCATCTCTAGAATTTTTTTCCATCTTCTAGAGCTGAAACTCAATGCCCATATAAGTCTGCATTCCCCCATTCTGCCTCCTGGGTTCAAGCAATTATCCTGCCTCAGCCTCCCGAGTAGCTGGGATTACAGGCCCGCACCACCACACCTGGCTAATTTTGTATTTTTAGTAGAGATGGGGTTTCACCATGTTGGCCAGGCTGGTCTCAAACTCCTGACCTCAAGTGATCACCTGCCTCAGCTTCCCAAAGTGCTGGGATTACAGGCCTGAGCCTAGAGATTACAGTGCCTAGCCTAGAGTTATGTATTCTAAAAATTTATTTAACAGCCAGATATAGTGGCTCATGCCTGTAATCCCTGTACTTTGGGAGGGTGAGGCAGGAGGATCACTTGAGGCCAGGATTTCAAGCCTAGCCTGGACAACATGACAAGACCCCATCTTTACAAAAAATAAAAAATTAGGCCGGGTAAGGTGGCTTATGCCTGTAATCCCAGCACTTTGGGAGGCTGAGGTGGGCAGATCACAAGGTCAGGAGATAAGACCATCCTGGCCAACATGGTGAGACCCAATAGAAAAAATTATCCAGGTGTGATGGTGTATGCCTGTAGTCCCAGCTACTTGGGAGGCTGAGGCAGGAGAATCGTTTGAACCTGGGAAGAGAAGGTTGCAGTGAGCCGAGATGATGTCACTGCATTCCAGCTAGTGACAGAGCAAGACTCTGCCTAAAAAAAAAAAAAAAAAAATTAGCCAGGTGTGGTGGTTCAGCTGTAGTCTTGATTACTTGGGAGACTAAGGTAGGAGAATCACTTGAGTCCAGGAGTTCCAGGCTGCAGTGAGCTTTGATTGTGTGCTTCTGCACTCCAGCCCGTGTGACACAGCAAGACCCTGTCTCAGAAAAAAAAAAAAAAATTATGCAATGGCCGTCATACTATGTGTACCATTTTCCAAGCCAACATGTTTTTCACAATGGAGCCACAATTATTCATTTGATTTGTTCATTTGAACTCCTGTTTATTACCATCATGTGAATAAGCCACAATATATTTATCAATTGGGTGTTTAGGTTGTTTCTATGTTTTGCTATTATTATTTATTTATTTATTTTGAGATGAAGTCTCACTGTCGCCCAGGCTGGAGTATAGTGGCTCAATCTCGGCTCACTGCAACCTGTGCCTCCTGGGTTCAAATGATTCTCCTACCTCAGCCGCCTCCCGAGTAGCTGAGATTACAGGCACGTGCCACTGCACGCAGCTAATTTTTGTATTTTTAGCAGAGATGGGGTTTCACCATGTTGGCCAGGCTGGTCTCAAACTCCTGAGCTCAAGTGATCTGCCCGCCTTGGCTTCCCAAAGTGCTGGGATTGCAGGCATGAGCCACCTCGCCTGGCCTGTTTTTCTATTATATAAACAGGGCTGCAGTGAATGCGCTTGGATTTTTCTCTGAACCCATCATTAGAGCATATACTTAGAATTAGAAAGCTAGGATTGTCAGGCAGGAACACTTTGAAGTTGACTAGTACTGCCAAACTGCTCTCTGCAGCGGCTGAACCAATTGATCCTCTCACCACCAGCGTTTGTACAAGACGTCCTGTTTCACCATATCCTTGCCAACTTTTGCTCTTGTTAGACTTATGTCTGCCAATCTGATGGGCATGAGGTGGTATTTCATTTGAAGCTGCATTCCCTGCCTCTGAGGTCGAGCATCTTATTAATCTCGTTGGCCATGTGGGTTTCCTCTAGGCAAATCATTTATGTTCATATCCTTTGCTATCCTATTGTAGCTTTCAGTGCAAGTTACAGCAGAAAGCCCAACTAGAAGGGGTTTAAGCAAAAAGGAACATTTATTAGCTCACATAACAAGAAGTCCTGGGGGTGGTTAATTCAGAGGCCCTGCTGTGACATCAAACACCAGGTTCTCTTCGTCTTTTTGCAACACCCTCTCACTGTGTTGGCCTGCCTCTTAGACAGGCCTCCTTGTGGTCCCGAGATGGCTGCCTCAACTCCAGGTGTCTTGTGCAAATAATAACGTCCAGAGACAGAAGAAAGTAGATAAGTGGATGCTTTCTTTCTTTTCTTTTCTTTCTTTTTTTTTTTTTGAGGCAGAGTTTCGTTCTTGTTGCCCAGGCTGGAGTGCAATGGCTCAATCTTGGCTCACCTCAACCTCTGCCTCCTGGGTTCAAGTGATTCTCATGCCTCAGCCTCCCTAGTAGCTGGGATTACAGGCACCTGCCACCATGCCCAGCTAATTTTTTGTATTTTTAGTAGAGTTGGGGTTTCACTATGTTGGCTAGGCTGGTCTCAAACTCCTGACCTCAGGCGATCCACCCAGCTCTGCCTCCCGAAGTGCTGGGATTACAGGTGTGAGTCACAGAACCCGGCTGGATGTTTTCTTATTAGTCTCCTTATTACTCTCTTATTAGTCTCCTTCCCCCCCCCGACCGAGACCTTCCAGAATTGCATAAACGTCCATACCTAAGCCTATCATTGATCAGAAGAACTAAATTAACATGCTATATTTAGACCAATCACTGTTCATCTGATGGGGTTGAGGAAGGTCAAGCCTCCCCAAAAGCCCAAACCTGTGAATCAGAACAGGGTTCTGATTATCAAGGAAGAAGAGAAGGGATGCTATTTGGAGTGGGACAAAAAAATGTCTGTCCTTACTGCTTGATGAATGCATTGAAAGAAAAAAAATAGGCTAGGCAGGGTGGCTCACACCTGTAATCTTGGCATTTTGGGAGGCCAAGGTGGGTGGATTGCTTGAGCCCAGGAGTTTGAGACCAGGTTGGGCAACATGATGAGACCCCATCCCTACCAAAATATATACAATATATACATGTATGTGTGTGTGTGTGTGTGTACATATATATATATATAAATTAGGCGGCATGGTGGTGTGTGCCTGTAGTCACAGCTACTTGGAGGCTGATGTGGGAGGATCACTTGAGCCTGGAGGAGCAGAGGTTGCAGTGAGCCAGGGTTGTGCCACTGCAGTCCAGCCTGGGCAACAGAGAGAGATCCCGTTTCAAAAAAGAAAAAAGAAGAAGAAATACAAATAAAATAAAAGTTCTGTCTTTTCCATATTGATTCCTAGGAGGGTTGTTTTGTTTTGTTTTGTTTTGAGATGGAAGAGATGGAGTTTCGCTCTTGTTGCCCAGGCTGGAGTAGGAAGGCACGATCTCGGCTCACTGTAACCTCTGCCTCCCAGGTTCAAGCGATTCTCCTGCCTCAGCCTCCCAATTAGCTGGGATTATAGGCATGTGCCACCACGGCCGGCTAATTTTGTAGATTCCTAGGAGGTCTTCATATTCTGAATGCTAACCCTTTATCTGTTGTACATGCTGTCACCACTGCCACCCAGGCTGCTCCTTGTCTCTTAGCTTTGTTTGTAATGTCGTTTTCATGGTGGAGGGCTTTTGGGGGGTAATGTAATAAAAATCATTCGATCTTTTTTGAGTGTGTCTCTCGTTTAAGAAATACTTTCCTACCCTTAGGTCTCCTACATTTTCTCCTAATTTTTTTTTCATTTTCTCCTAATTATTTTAAAGTTTTGTTTTTCACTGTTAGGTCTTGAATCCATCTGGAATTCATATTTATGGATGGTGCGAAGATTTTTCATAGGAAAAGGCAATTGTCACATTTTATTGAATAGTCTGTTCTCTCTCACCGAGTTGCAGTGCTGCCACCATGATAAATCACATTCCCACAAATGCTTGGATCTGTTTCTGGGCACTCTGTTCTATTGATCCCTTTGTCTAGCCGGGCACCAATACCACATTGTTTTAATTATCGCTTTCGAAAAAGTCTTGGTATTTGTGAGGGCCAGGTCTCTTTCCTTATTCTTTTTCAGAATGGTCTACTTTTTTCTTGGGTCTTTGTCTTCTCTATGAAGTTTAGAATTAGTTTGCCTAGCTCTCTGAAAAATCCTGTTGGGATATTCATTGGACCTGCAATAAATCAACAGATTACGGTGGAGAGAATCATCTTCATAACATTGAGGCATCTCATCCCTAACCTAATACTTCTCTACTGTTCTCCATTTGTTACTTTTTTTTTTTTTTGAGACAGAGTTTCACTTTGTTGCCCAGGCTGGAGTGCAGTGGCTCCATCTTGTAACCTCCCCTTCCTGGGTTCAGGCAATTCTCATTCCTCAGCCTCTTGCAGAGCTGGGATTACAGGCGCCTGCCACCACGCCAGGCTGATTTTTATTGTATTTTAGTAGAGACAGGTTTTCACTATGTTGCCCAAGCTGGTCTCGAACTCCTGAGCTCAGGCAGTATGCCCATTTCTGCCTCCCGAAGTGCTAGGATTACAGGTGTGAGGCACCGTGCCTGGCCGTCTATTTATTACTATTATAGCCTATATTTTTCTTCCTAAATATCTTGCAATGTATTTTGTAATTTTTTTCTGGGTTCTGTACAAATTTTAATTTATTTGTGAATGATTTTTTTGAAAAGATACTATAATTTCTAATAAATTATTGCACGCGCATAGAAACACTGCTGAATTTGTGTGTTTTTTTTTTTCTGTGATTTGGATGTTGACCTTTGTCCAGCTGGACTTCACTTAATCACTCTAATAATATGCCCTTAGAATCTCTTGATTTTCTATATAAATAATCATGCCATCTACAGATGTCAGAGATTTTTGCCTCTTATTTTCCTAATACTTCTTTTTTTATTTTTTTTATTTTTGAGACAGAGTCTCCATCTGTCACCCAGGCTGAAGTGCAATGGTGCGATCTCAGCTCACTGCAACCTCTGCCTCTCGGGTTCAAGCTATTCTCCTGCCTCATCTTCCTTAATAGCTGGGATTATAGGCCCCCACCATGGCGCCCACCTAATTATTTTGAGTAGAGACGGGTTTCGCCGTGCTGGCCAGGTTGGTCTAGAATTCCTGGTTAGCCACCCACCTCTGCCCCCGCAAGTGCTAGGATTACAGGAGAGAGCCACCGGGCCCGGCCTTATTTTCCTAATCCTTCTATCAGTGAATGGTGGCTTCTAAATCTGACCTCTCCCAGCTCTTGGGCTGGGCCTGTGGACTGACCCTGGGCAGCTATTACCTTGCACTGTCAGTTATAAATAAATAAAACACCCTTACTTTCTCCAGAGCTTTACAGTTTGCAAAGCACTTTCACTTCCATCATCTCATTGATCCTTCTTACCCCCACTTGATGGAGTGGGAGTGTCTGGGTGGAAACCGCGTAGGGCTCTGTGTCCAGAGATCCAGCTGTGCAGGCATGGTGCCAAGGCACCTTAGACAGTCCCTCCTCTTCTCTCTTTCTCCGGTAAGCTAAACGTTTGGCCGGGAATGATCCCTGGCATTCCAACTCATGTGTGATGGATTTGGGCCATCAGAGGCTCAGGGAACGAACCCCTTTGAGGGCTGAAATCCACCGATAAAAAGGGGGGGATTCTGGGTACATTTGGTCTCTAGGCTGGTATATCAAAATGTCTGGAGGGATATGGAAATGTCCTTGGATGTCGGAGGCTTGATACAGATGGTGGGATAGGTGGAGGTGGGATGGGGAAGAGATCACTACGTCCAGCCCCTGCCTCCGTGCCGGTTCTCCTCCCTCCGTAGATTAGAGCGTCTTCTGGATAGGGAAGGGTAGGACGAGATGGAGCTCGTGGCCTTGGGTTCCCTCCTGCGTCGCCCCCTGTAACTGCGGCGTCCCGCACGCACTGCTGACGCGCATCCCCAGCCTGGGGCGTTGCGCTGCGCTCCACAGCCATCCCGCCCCCGACTCCCGCTCCGCCCCAACATCGCGCAGGCGCAAGACCGGGCAGGAGCCGGCGAACGCGCCCTCTCGTGTCAGACTGGCCGAGTCGCAGTCTTTGTTGCGCTGGAGGCGGCGAACGGGACGGGGGAGAAAGATGTGGGTGGAGTCTGGGAGGCAGAAGCGAGAATCAGATCACAATGACGAGAAGCCCTTTCCTTTGTCCCTCACGGCAACGTATAGATGCGGATAAAGAAAACACGGCCTCAGACGTCAAGAGACTTAGAGACAGGTGCAAAGAGACTGAAGCTGAATGAGACACACTGGACAACATTCATTCATTCATTCATTCGTCCATTTAGCAAACATTCACTGGGATGGGGAGATACGGTGACAAAGGACCAGAGGGCTTATATTTAGGCACTGGTGGGCAGAGACGGGGCAGAAAGCTGGAGAGACGGATGCGGTTGTCAAAAAGTCGAGGACAGAGAAGCGACTAGCTCAGGGCAGGGCTGGGCCACAGGAGTGAGGCAGAGGCCGGGGAAGTCCTGGCGGAGCCTGCAGCCTGTGGCTTGGCGAGAGCACCAGCTGTGCGAGGCGGGGTGCGAGCTCTGGTCACCCAATCTGCAGGCCAACACCTGTGCCCCTCCAGCTCCTCCGACCCCTCCAGTTCCCACAACCGACGCCCCAACTGGGGAGGGCCAAATGGAGAGCTAAAGATAGGCAACGTAAGCACCAGGCGGGACCCGATATGTGAGAACCATGCATTTGTCATTCTACTACTATCAAAAAGCCCGGACTGGCCAGAGTTTGGAGGATGCTGGGGAATCAGTTCTTTATTCTGAGACTGGTTAATACACGAAGAGTCCAGCGTTTCTCCTGTCTTTCTTATACCAACTTTCCCACTCAGTAACCAAATTGCAAGGGGCAGTTTCTGTCTATAATTATTCCAGTTAGTAAAGGAAGGAGTGATCAGAGTGATCAAATTTGAATATCACTATTTTGCGCGCTCACACACACACGAAAAGCTGATGGCAGAGGCACTGACACTGCTAAGACCACAGAAACGCATGATGTCCCTTCAAAAGGGAAGATCGCTGCCACAACCTGTGAAGTGGTCTCAACAAGGAAACTGAACATAAACTTTACCAGGCCTCTAGATGCAACTACAATTAATAGGAGATAACAATGTACAGGAAATGCAATGTATAGGAAGTATGGGGGTGGGAGGAACATGTTAAAAAACACCATGGAGATGCAATCAGCAAAATCCAGAGGGCAGAAAAGTACAGAAGAAATGATCTGGCTCCTTCAAGGAAAGAGAGAGAGGAGGGAGGGAAGGAAGGGAGGAAGAAAGAAAGGAAGGAAGGGAAAAGGAAGGAAGGAAGGGAAAGAAGGATGAACCTCCTTTGGGAGGTCGAGTAGGTGGATTACCTGAGTTCAGGAGATCAAGACCATCCTAACAGGGTGAAACCCTGTCTCTGCTAAAAATACAAAAGTTAGCTGGATGTGGTGGCATGTGCCTGTAATTCCAGCTACTCAGGAGCCTGAGGCAGGAGAACCACTTGAACCCGGGAGGCGGAGGTTTCAGTGAGCCAAGACTGCACCACTGCACCCCAGCCAGGGTGACAGAGTGAGAATCCATCTTAAAAAAAAAAAATAAAGGGCCCTGTCAATCATCAATGAGTTGCAATGTGTGTACCTTCTTTGTATCCTGATTGGAACAAGTACACCGTAAATATATATATATGTGTGTGAGAAATTGGAAATTGGAACACTAGAAGTTTGATATTAAGGAATTTTATTGATGATATTAATAACTGAACACGTGTGATTACATTAAAAAGAATTATTATTTAAAGACACATACTGAAATATTGATGGATGAAATTAATTGGGAGGGGTATAGATGAACCTAGATTGGTCATGAGTTGATAATTGTTGAAGCTGGGTGACAGATACATGGGGGCTTATTATAGTATGCTGTAAATTTTTCAAACTGAGTTTAAAGACCCTGTGACCCCCGCTTCCCACCTCTAGGCCCAACAGACAGAGGGCGCTGTGTGTTACAAGCGGCAGGTTGCAGTCCAGACAACTCTGAGTGGGAAGGTCCTCTGAGGGCCAAGGGACCTGGGGAGGCTTTCTGGGGACTTTCTGGCTTATGGGACAGTCCCCGGTGCCCCTGAGTTGTGCAGGGAGGATCAGATGGGGAAGTGGCTGCAGCTTTTCATTAAGGAAGGCTGGCTTCTGTGGGCCTGGTGACACTGGAGCCAGGCACTGCTACCTTAAGACAGCTGCGTGGGTGGCTCCAAAAATAGCCAGGGGATAGCAGGGGGCAGGGGGGAGAGTCACATGGAGAAGCTCAGGGGTGAGGTTGGGCAGGTGCCCGGGTGCTGGCACTTCTGCCTGCTCCCCCAGAGCCCTTGGACTCTCCCTCTGCCTCTAGAACTTTCCTTCCTCCCTCCCTCCATCTCTGAGAAGGCAGAGAGATGCCCAGGTGATGCTGGGACAAATACTGCCTTGCCTGAGGGGATGCTGACTCTTGTAATTTGGTGGCTCCCCAGGGATGGGCAGGTCAGTGTGAGAGACCTGGGGAGAGAAGGATGCCCCACCCCATCACCCCTGGACTGAGATCCTTTGGCAGAGGCAGGAAGGAAGGAGAGGCAGGGCCGGGCAAGTGCTTTGGCCGCTGTCATTGACTGAGTCAGGCACTGGGCTAAGCCATCTGCATGCATTCAACTTCTCAGCAATGTGGCCTTGGGGAAGGTATACGCCCCTGTGCCTCTGTTTTATCATCCGTTAAATGAATGGGTACAGTGCTCATACCTGCCTCATGGGACTGCTGAGGGGCGGAATGTGGTAATATACTTAGACATATGTAAGACCTTCAGCACAGCAGCCGGCAGGGCTAGCTGGTATTACCCACTGGCAGGTGACCTCCACGTGGGCAGAGGTTTGCTTGTCTCTGCAGCTTCCATGCCTGGTGCCTAGCAGGTGCTTCGTAAATAGATACTGCATTCATTACTTTGTGGATTCCTCATAATGACGCCAAGAGGCAAGCACTCTTCTTGCCAGTTTATAGTTGTAGAAATGGGCTACAGGGCAAATGGCACACTCAAGCCGCATCCCCAGCAAGTGGCCAAGGTGGGACTCATGCCCACCTCCAGGACTCTGAACCTGTGTCCTGAGCCCTGACTCCACAGGCCAGAGTGGGCACCTCCTCCACTCACCTGTCTCCACCTGGTTGATCCTGCCCAGGCTTGCTGTCTTCCTAGACCTCCACGCTGAATTGCTTGGACTAGGGATAAGGGCTGGGTGGATAGCACCTACACTGCTGTTAAGGAAGCTGTCACCAGCCAGCTACACCTTCTGGTTGCCAGGCCCTGTGCCAGGCCCAAGGATACAAACGCGACAAGATCCTAGTCTTCGAGGAGCTTGGAGTATCAGTTCCAGCCCACAGTGCGGTGTGGTGGGTTGTGCCCAGGAAAGCGCGAAGCGGCTAAGGGCACACCCAGCTTGGCCCGGCAGAAGGAGGGGGTCAGAAAGCCTTGAGAGAGGAAGGGACATCCGTGCAGTCTGGAAAGGTGACGAAAGTTTTCTGCTTGGATGAAGGTGGGAAGGGAAATCCGGGCAGAGGGAACAGCCTGGGCGGCGGCATGCAGAATTGAAAGTCTGCCAAGCTAGGCAGGGGCAGAGTGGGCAGGGCAGGGGCCTGGGGTCAGGAGCGGGGGGCGGAGGGTGAGATTCTAGAGCAGCTGGCCAGGTTCAGTAGGGCAGGTAAGCCACCAGCTGGGATGAGCTAGGAACTCAGGGGCCATGAGGGCCGTGAGAATTTTAAGGGAGGATGGAGGTGGTTGGCTGGTGGTTTAGAAAACACTGTGGCCACTGGAGGGGACAATTGGAGGGACAGTGAGTGTGCGGAGGGCATCCATCCCAGATTTGGTGCCTGCTCCAGGGGGGAGGGGAGGCTGAAGCTGGGACCCAGCTGCCCCAAGCCACCTCCCTCTCTCCCTCCCTCCTCTCCACCCTGCCCCCTGTCTCTGTCACTCACGGGCAGGCCTGGCTGGGCAGCCATGGCCGTGGCACTCATCTGGACTCTTCTCCTCATGGGTAAGCTGGGGCCTTGTTCAGGGGGGAGGCCTGGGATGAGGGGTGGATTTAGGGTGGTAAGATAGGGGTATGGAGGGCCCGCAGAAGAGGGGTCTGGGTTGGGTGAGGCAAGAGCCAGAAGGGCTTTGGGGGGGCTAATGCTGTGGCCCGCTGGGATCCAGGGAATGGGGCTGGGAGCTGGGCTCTGGGATGAGGGGGCTGGGAGCTCTGAGGGCTGGAGGTGGCCTAGGGCTGCGGTGGGCCTGACAGGGTAGGCCTAGAGGATCGTGGGCCCTTTAAAGAGCTGGCCGGGCCACAGCTTCTAAGCCCAGGCTAAATTTGGCCCTGGGAGGGAGGGTGGAGCTGGCAGCCCCGTCCTCAGCTCCTCTCCTGGGCTTAGGGTTCCTTTTGCTCAGCTGCTATGGCCTCTAGGGCAGGGCCTCTTCTTCCTTGGATTTTAGGGGAGGAAGGTGGGGACCTCAAGTCCCAGAAAGCTACCCTTCCTCCTCAGGGTAGCAGTTCCTGTAGGTTCCTGCCCCCTTTTCCTATCCTCTGGGTACTTGGGCATTTAGCATGGGATTCTTTCCCAAGTGCCCTTCACACACACGCACACACACACACTCACACACACACACACACACACACACACTCTCTCTCTTCCCAACCAAACACCAGTCCCTGCTCACGGCGCCATTAAAGGGGCCTGAAACAAGGAGTGGAAAGGTTGTGGGAAAGGCTCCACGAACCCCAAATTGATGAAAGTCTGGGCATTGTCACTGATTAAAACGTCTATCACAGCTGGGCGTGGTGGCTCACGCCTATAATCCCAGCACTTTGGGAGGCTGAGGTGGGTGGATCACAAGGTCAGGAGTTCGAGACCAGCCTGACCAACATGGTGAAACCTCGTCTCTACTAAAAATACAAAAATTAGCTGGGCGTGGAGGTGTGCACCTGTAGTCCCGGCTACTCAGGAGGCTGAGGCAGGAGAATTGCTTGAACCCTGGAGGTGGAGGTCGCAGTGAGCTGAGATCCCGCCACTGCACTCCAACCTGGGTAACAGAGTCAGACTCCACCCCAAAAAATAGAAAACCAAACATCTTCTAGCACAACCAGGGCCTGCTGCCCTGCCCCACACCCCCATCCCTTCCTGGGAGCTGGCAAAGGAAGGGCTTCTCTCGGTCCTTTAGGGGCTTCAAGGACTTGGTGGGGAAGAGAGCTTATCCCCTTCCCAGGACTGAGGCTGACCTGTGTGTTTGGGACTTGTGGGGTGCCCACAGGTCTCCTGGCAGGGTTGGGGGGCACCAAGGCCCAGCAGACCACGCTATATCCACTTGTGGGCCGTGTCTTTGTGCACACCTTGGACCATGAGGCGTTCCTGGGTCTTCCTGAACACAACGGTGAGCGGCCTGAGAAGCACCCATGTGGGCAAGCTGGGGTGTGCTCTGCAGGGCTCTTGCTGTGACTCTAATCCCCTCTCCTGGCTTCCACCAGCTGTCCCAACCACTGTCCGAATCACCTACCACGCCCACCTCCAGGGACACCCAGACCTGCCCCGGTGGCTCCGTTACACCCAGCGCAGCCCCCACCATCCTGGCTTCCTCTACGGCTCTGCCACCTCAGAAGATCGTGGGCGCCAGGTCATTGAGGTGCCGTCAGGGACCCTGAGAAACTCACAGGGGTGGGGCAGCGTGGCCTCCTAGGAGCAGCCCTTCCAGTCGGGATTGGGTGTTCCTTCAGTCATTTACATACAATTTACATACCTCTAATTTGGTATCTAAGTCCTCTCCTGCCAGCCCTCCCCCTTCCCCCCCCCACCCTGCTGTGCCACGTTTCTCATCTAACCTACCTCTCAGGTGTCTTTCCCATCCCCCAGGTCACAGCCTACAATCGGGACAGCTTTGACACCACTCAGCAGAGGCTGGTGCTGGAGATTGGGGACCCGGAAGGTACCTCTAGCTGGGCCCCATCTCTTCCCCACCAACGCCAGCCTTGGGGGAGGAGCGGGGGGGGGGGCGCGGTGGATGGGAGAGGCTTGGAGGGGAGTGGAGCAGGGCATTCTGGAAAGTGGGAACAAGGTTTTAGGGAATGGGCATTGGACTGGGATTCCAGGCTCTGGAGTTCTGTTACCAGCTGTGTAGCAGAGACTATGGAGCCTTGGGTCATTGGGGTCGTGATGGATGGGGCATTGAGGGGCCTGAAAGGGTTTGTGGGGAGGAGCTTCAGGGAAGCTTTGTGGGGCAGAGCTGGGGCAGGGTACAGCCTGAGGTGTCCGCCTGGCTTACCCAGGCCCCCTGCTGCCATACCAAGCTGAGTTCCTGGTACGAAGCCATGATGTGGAGGAGGTGCTGCCCTCAACACCTGCCAGCCGCTTCCTCTCGGCCTTGGGGGGACTCTGGGAGCCTGGAGAGCTTCAGCTGCTCAACATCACTTCTGCCTTGGACCGTGGGGGTCGTGTCCCCCTTCCCATTGAGGGCCAAAGAGAAGGGTAGGTGTGTAACCCAAAAGGACTTCCTGAAAGAGGAGAATGCAGCTTGTGGCAGGCATAGGGTCTCCCTAATTTCCAGGTGGGGCTCTACCATGCCCATCTCCACTTCCCAGCTTCACACCATTGTCCACTCCCCTCTGGCTACACCCGCATCTTCTTGTCTTTCTGGAGCCCAGACCCTAGTTACCCTGAACTCTGTACTTCCTGGTGCCTCATGAGGACATACCAGATCCATCCATTAAAGGACATTCCTGGCTGGGCGCGGTGGCTCATGCCTATAATCCCAGCACTTTGGGAGGCCGAGGTGGGTGGATCACGAGGTCAAGAGATCGAGACCATCCTGGTCAACAAGGTGAAACCCCGTCTCTACTAAAAATACAAACATTAGCTGGTTATGGTGGTGCACGCCTGTAATCCCAGCTACTCGGGAGGCAGGAGAATTGCCTGAACCCAGGAGGTGGAAGTTGCGGTGAGCCGAGATTGCGACATTGCACTCCAGCCTGGGTAACAAGAGCGAAACTCTGTCTCAAAAACAAACAAACAAACAAACAAAAAACAAAAAAGACATTCCTTGAGGGGGAGGGTAATTTTCTAGGACATTCCTAGAAAAATGGGGTGCTCTGTGTAGGCTCACCATGACCTCAGATCTCCGGGAAGACTGTGACTCCTGCCAGACCCCAGCTGTGCCATGTTCTTCTCTTAATCCTCCCTCCTAGCTGTCTCCCCAATCCCATTCCCAGGTCATAGCCTACAATCAGGACAGTTTCAACCACCCCTGGCAGAGTGGTGCCTGGTGCTCCCTGCCTCCACTCTGCTGACAGTGACTTCTATCTGGTCCCAGGGTGTACATCAAGGTGGGTTCTGCCTCACCTTTCTCTACTTGCCTGAAGATGGTGGCATCCCCTGACAGCCATGCCCGCTGTGCCCAGGGCCAGCCTCCACTTCTGTCTTGCTACGATACCTTGGCACCCCACTTCCGCATTGACTGGTGCAATGTGACCCTGGTGAGGAGGGACCCTGGGCCCAGGGGTGGGGCAGGGCATGGCCCCATCACTGTTCACCTTCCCTCCCATGCTGCTTCCCGCCTCTGTCTCTCTGCTCCAGTCCCATTTCTTTCTCTGATGCTCTCAATATTGCCCTCAGACACACACACACAAGTTCTACCTTTACCCACAAGGGGGCGACAGAGCCCGCAATCCACACGTGGGGTCTCCAACTCCTGGGCTCCAGACCTGCCCAGCCCAAGAGCTGCATTACAGTGCACTTCGCAAACCCTTTCCCCACCAAGGGCTTCTGCGTGACAGCTGTCTGCTTTTCTCTAAGGTGCCACCTAGCAAACCTACCTACAACAAGGACCTGATAGCTCTTCACACTGTAAACCAAAGATGCTCACGACAGCTCTTTGGACACTGAGCTGAGGTTCTCGGGATCTCACTGCTGGTGTACTCTGTTCCTGTGAATTGGCCAACAGAGCAGGAACTCACTCAGGGTCCTCAGCCAGGGACTCGTGACTGACAACATTTTTTAGCACTTGTTCTGTGCTTGGCACTGTCCCATCAACCTATTTTATGCCCTCCAGGAGACAGGTGCTACTATTATCCTTGACTTTACAGGTGATGAAACTGAGGCACACAGAGGCAATCATCCTAGCTAAGGACTTGTCTGAGTCTGGATTCAAACCCAGGCGGCCAGACCCTAGAGCTGTGTGCTAACCAGTGTGCTGTCTTGCCTCTGCTGGACATTGTATCTCGTGCCTCCTAGTCCTGGCTTGTCCTGCTAGGTCACAGGAACTGGGGAAGGCAGACAGGAGGAAACCTTGTGGCTGCATGAGGTCATAGGAGGATGGCCCAGAACCCCTGCCCTGTTCCTAGGGGCCTCTGTGTCTAGCTAGCCACTTCCTGTGTCAGCCCTGAGCTCTCTGTGCAGGTGGATAAGTCAGTGCCAGAGCCTGCAGACGAGGTGCCCACCCCAGGCGATGGCATCCTAGAGCACGACCCGTTCTTCTGCCCACCCACCGAGGCCCCAGACCGTGACTTCTTGGTGGATGCTCTGGTCACCCTCCTGGTGCCCCTGCTGGTGGCCCTGCTTCTCACCTTGCTGCTGGCCTACGTCATGTGCTGCCGGCGGGAGGGGCGGTGAGTGTGGGCATGAGGGCGGGGGGCACCTGCCGGCGCATGCACCCATGGGACTCCCAGTGGCGCTTGTGCTGTGTGGGACCCAGACACTCTGGGAATGGGGTTCTCAGGCACAAAAGGAGTGTGGGGCCCCCTTCTAGGCAACTTGGGGCTTGAGACCTGCCTGGCCTGGCACCAGGAGGGCGTTGTGGATGATTGCACACAGACTTCCACACACACAACGATGCCCTGGGGCACCTTGGCATGAAGCCTAGAGCTGGGCTAACCCTCTCCTTCATTTTTCCACAGGCTGAAGAGAGACCTGGCCACCTCTGAGTGAGTAGGGGAAAGCTGGGGGTGGGATGGGAGCCCACCTAGACAGTTGTTGGACCCGCCAACCTATGCCATGAACAGCAGAGAAAAATAAATCACTGGGGTCAGACTCACCCCTGCCCTTGACCTCTGAGCTCTAGCCCTGGGCTGGCTGGATGCTGGGCCTGATCTTTCCTGACTCAGCCTTATTATTTGCTGGTGTCCATAGAAGAATCTCTTGTGAGCCAGGCGTGGTGGCTCATGCCTGTAATCCCAGCACTTTGGGAAGCTGAGGTGGGAGGATTGCTTGAGCCCAGGAGTTTGAGGCCAGCCCGGGCAACACAGTGAAACCTCATCTCAAAAACAACAAAAAGATTTAAAGTAGCCAGGCATGGTGGAGTATGCCTGTAGTCCTAGCTACTTGGGAGGCTGAGACAGGAGGATCACTTGAGCCTGGTTGAGGCTGCAGTGAGTGGTAATTGTGCCTCTGCACTCCAGCCTGGGTGACAGAGTTACTCTTTCCCAAAAAGAAGAAGAGCCTGTTGTGACACAGGGGAGTGGGACCTGCTGCGTGAGAAGCAAATGAAGAGGCAGACACGTGGGGTCCAGGCCAGATCTTGCCACACAATCTTCGTCACCCTTCTTTATGGCGTCAGATGCTCCACCTACACGATCACGCGGTTGGACTAGCTGGTGTCTATGAATGCTTCCAATTCCTCTAGCCCTTCCCAAATCCTTCCTCTTATTTTGCCCAGGTTTCCACTACTCATGGCCTTACTCCTCCTCTGTGCCCCTAGCCCTCTTCCTCTCCCACTCCCCTGAACCCCAGAATCCAGGAATCAGATTAGAAATAAGTTAGGCTCCCTTTATTCCCACTGCACTGAGCCTGTGGTGGGCTTGGCAGCCCTGACTGCTTGCCTGGCCTGCCTCGTTAATTGTGGTGGCATTTAGCCACCCTTCGAGCCCCCTTGACAAGCCGCTTGTGCCCCTGTTTGGAGCCCAGTAGTGACCTAAAGTGGTGCTGTCCAGAGCGGGACTGCCCGGAGATGCGCTGCTCAGAGCGCCGCCTCCGCTGCCGTTGTCTCTTGACCTTGAGCTTGGGCTTGGAGGCCTGCTTTTTGCCCAGCCTGAAGGAGCCTGAAGCCCCCTTGCCGGTCACCTGCTTGAGCATGCCCTTGTCCACGAGCCCCTTGAGCACATGCTTGAAGTGACAAGCATTTCGGGCCATGTCGTAGCCCTTGGCAGCAAGAGCCTTCTTCAGGGTGGCCAGGGACACACACTTGCAGGTCCCCTTATCTGCCACAGCCCTCAGGATCACCTTGGACATGCTGGGCTTCTGACAGGATTCGGGACACGTGTGTTGCCCAGTTGCTCTCTTGCTAGGGGCCTCTGATATGCTGGCCTGCTGGCTTCCACCCATGGCAGTATTTGCCGGGGACAGCTGCAGAGTGTCTTTTTGCATCTCTCCCGGGGGTAGGTGAAGGGTCTTGGGTATAAGGACTTCCAGGGTGGCTGGCAGTCTCCACTGGGCTGCTCCTTGAAGGATGGCTGAGGTGTGTCCCGGTTCCCAGTTCCCTCTGAGGCTTCCGCTTGGGCTCCAGCCCCTGCCTTCCCCTGGGTGGCCAGAGAGAGGACCAAGGACACTCACCCACAGTTGGCCTCTACAGACTTGTGCTCCTGGTGCAGGGGGTGTTGAGGTTATCTCTGTGGTGACCTCAGGGGGACATTGTGAGGCCATCAGAATTCTGTGTGGGTCACAGAGGCCCCATTGCTTCCTCCAGGGAGGAGTGGTTGGAGATGCCAGATGTAACATGCCAAGTGTCCCGGGGAGGAGGGCTACTGTGTGTGCACATGCCTGCACTAATTTTATATTTAAAAAAATTTTTAGAGAGAGGGTCTCACTTTGTCACCCAAACTGGAGTACAGTGGCATGACTATAGCTCACTGCAGCCTCAAACTCCTGGGCTCAAGCGATCCTCCCACCTCAGCTTCCTGAGTAGCTGGGACTACAGGCATGCGCCACTGCATCTGGCCTGGCCCCCAGTTTTGACGTCACCATTTTGACCCCACCATCTTGACCCACTGGATTTTTGAGCCTCTGGCTTGAGGAATGCAAGCTTTGCAGTTATCAGGATTATACCAACGTTTATGAATTTTTACGGGAATATATTTTCCAAAGTGAACAGAGATGTAATTCCTTGATCTGCATGAAGTTGACTTAATTCCTCTAGCAGCTTTCTATAGAAAGCAGCTAAAAGGTTTTGCTTTCATTTTCTGTTTTTATTTTTATAGAATTTTTCCCCATGGGGATCAGTGATTTTTTCATGTACATTTCATAAGGAAGATTTTATTCCTCATTTTTTTGGACTGTGCCAAGTTTAATCACTAACATCTACTGCCACTGGGGATATACTCTCACGACCAGTATTTCCTCCACGTCCAGCCTCCCCGGGTCAGCTTTATAGCTCTGATGTCAGAAAAATCTGCTGCCTCTGCCAATTTGAACTCAATAACCAATTTCACCATGTGCAATATTAGCCTTGACTGGTTTGGATTTTGTGTTGATATATTTCTACAAAATCCAATTTTTCCCTTGTTCAATGTCTGCCATTTTTCAGATTGTCCACAAGTTATGATTCTGCTGCCTGCTTTTCACCTAGATCAGATTTCAGTGGTCACAGAGTCCTCCAGGCCCCATGACCCTCTCCCAGGGATCTGTGTGCCAGAGGCAGTGCTTTCGGGACTGTGTGCTGGTGGTGGAGTGGATGTGGGTGAGACCTGGGCCACACGTGTGTGTGTGAATGTGTGCGCCTGAGGGTGCAGGAATGCCTGCCGTTTGTCTGCCCAAGTGCTGATGTGGAAGGACGTGGGGAAGCCACCACAGGGTCTGGCTTCTGCTCTTGCTCTAGAAAAACATCCCCAGCACATTTTTCCACCTGTGTGTTGCCAGAGTAATGAAGCCCAGATGTGGGGCTGGGAATAAGGAGCGGCCCACTGATGGAGGCCTTCCTCCACAGGGCCTCACCTGACGGGCTGTCTCCATCTCGGCATCCACCCACCGGTTGCTCTCTTCTCCCTCAGTCTCCCCTTGCCTGGGAATAGAAAATTGTGTTTCGGTCAACCCAGCTCACCAAATTCCAGACTCAAGAGCTCATCTTGACCCTCCCCTAGCCTTAGATGGTGACTCCACCTCTTCCTGCTGGCCAGACAGGACTTGGTCCCACTCCCCACAGGAGGAGCACGGCTCATTCAGCAGGAAGCTAGGTCTTTGTCTTTTCTGTAGTCTAAACTGTCAGGCTCTGGCTGGAGTCCGTGTCCACTGACTGGGACCTGAACGTGGGTAGGGATCACTTTTCCTCCCTCATCTGATCAGTAACAAAGTGGCAAGCGGGGTCGCTTCAGCCCTGCCTGGGGCCCCAGCTTCTCCAAGAAAACCAATTCTTGGCTGGGTGCAGTGGCTCATGCCTGTAATCCCAGCACTCTGGGAGGCAGAGGCAGGAGGGTCCCTTAAGGCTAGAAGTTCAAGACCAGCATAAGCAACAAAGTAAGACGCCTGTCACTACAAAAAAGTTTTAAAACTTAGCCAAGCATGGTGACTTGCACCTACAGTCTCAGCTACTCTGGAGGCTGAGGCAGGAGGATCACTTGAGCCCAGGAGGTGGAGGCTGCTTGAGCTGTGATTATGCCACTGCACTGAAGCCAGGCGACAGACTGAGACCCCATCTCTTAAAAGTAAATAAATAACATAACATAATATAGAGCTCAGCAAACACTGGGTCCTGGAAGAATATGCTTTCTGTGGATGTCTAGTCATGTCTCCACATCCTGTGAGTGCTTATCACGTGGTAGGCACTATTCTAAACACTGAGCCACATTTTCTCTTTTAATCTTCATAGCAATCCTAGGAGGTAGGTGTTTTTTCTTTTTTGAGACCAGTCTCACTCTGCCGCCCAGGCTGGAGTGCAATGGTGCGATCTTGGCTCACTGCAACTTCTGCCTCCCGACTTCAAGCGATTCTCCTGCCTTAGCCTCCCAAGTAGCTGGGACTACAGGCATGTGCCACCACACACAGCTGATTTTTTTTGTATGTTTAGTAGAGACAGGGTTTCATCTTGTTGGTCAGGCTGGTCTTGAGCTCCTGGCCTCAAGTGATCCACCTGCCTCGGCCTCCCGAAGTGCTGGGATTCCAGGTGTGAGCTGCCGCACCCAGCCTGGAGGTACGTGTTATTATCTCCATTTGACAGTTGAGCAAACTAAGGCATGGAGTGGTTAAGCAACTTGCCCAAGATAGAGCCTTGAACCCAGGCTGCCTACACTCACAGCCCATATCTTGACCACTGGGCACTGAGCAGGCACCATAAAGCTTTCTTTCTTTCTTTTTTTTTTGAGACAGAGTCTCATTCTGTCACCCAGGCCTGAGTGTAGTGGCACAATCTTGGCTCACCGCAACCTCCACCTCCCAGGTTCAAGTGATTCTTCTGCCTCAGCCTCCTGAGTAGCTGGGATTACAGGTGCCCACACCACACCTGGCTAATTTTTATTTTTATTTTTGTAGAAACAGGGTTTCACCATGTCGGCCAGACTGGTCTCCAACTCCTGACCTCCAGTGACCCGCCTGCCTTGGCCTCCCAAAGTGCTGGGATTACAGGCCCAAACCACTGCGCCCTGCCCCATGGCGCTTTCTGTTTGTTTTTTGCCCCTGCATCATGCGTTTGAGTCTCTTCTCCATAAGTGATGGGAGGACTGCAGGGTGTCTAAGAGGCAGTGCCAGGCTGAGCGCTGGGGCAGCTGACTCCCAGAGCTGACGACTCCCCACCTGTTCCTCCAGCATCCAGATGTTCCACCACTGCACCATCCACGGGAACACAGAGGAGCTGCGGCAGATGGCGGCCAGCCGTGAGGTGCCCCGGCCACTCTCCACCCTACCCATGTTCAATGTGCGCACGGGTGAGCAACTGCCTCCCCGCGTGGACAGCGCCCAGGTGCCCCTTATTCTGGACCAGCACTGAGGGCCCGGCCAGGTGGGTCTGGTGGGCGATGCCAGCTTTATTTCTGGGAACAAGATGACCTCCATCTCAAGGCTGGGGCAAATGGTGGGGTCTGGGGGAGGTCAGGGGAAGAGGCATGTAGACTTGCCTGCCCCTCTGAGGCAGCTGCTGGGGGTGTCCACCAGTGCCAGGGCTAAGCCCCCAATGCCAAGCACTTGGGGTTGGAGGGTCAGGATGGGGAGGGCAGGAGAACCGGCATCTGGCCCTCTCAGCCCTCCACTCTCTCTTCCCATAGTGGTTCCAGGTCCAGCCCTGGCTTCATCCTCCCTTCTCTGTCCATTTGGAAAGCGGCACATCCCACCTGCTGATTCTGGCTCCCGGCCCACCTGGAACCCACCTGGAACAAGCAGGGAGATGGGATGGGGCAGGGCAAGAGTGTGTGGAGTAAGGACATTCAGAATAAATACCTGCTGCTCTGCTCACACATTGTTGCTGGCAGCCTCCCTGTCCTCGCTGCCTCTGTTTCCCTGTGCTTTCTGGGAGGCCCTGCAGGCAGGCAGGGCATGCCAGTCTCTGCCCTTTGCACCCTGGGCATTTTGTTGTTTTCTCGAATTCTCAGGAAGAAAGAGGAAAGGATCTACTATCTGCAGCCCTCCCATGTACCTGGTAGTGAGGGATGCCTGGCTCATTAATCCCCATTTCATAGATAAGGAAACAGAGACCAAGGGAGAGTCAGTGACTTACGGAAGGTTACAGAGCAAGCAAGTGGCAATGCTTGGATTTGACCCTGGCACGTCTGCCTCCACTCTGCCTTCTGTAGGGTTGGGAGGTTCTAGAACAGGAAATCCAGGCCCTTATCTGCAGATTTCCTTGGCACCTCAAGATCCCCTGGAGGGAGAGTGCCTCTATCTGTTGTGTTTGAAGAGAAGTCAATCTAGATATGCAGAGAGGGGTCGGGCCTGTAATCCCAGCACTTTCATAGGCTGAGGTGGGCAGATCACCTGAGGTCAGGAGTTCGAGACCAGCCTGGCCAACATGGTGAAACCCTGTCTCTACTAAAAATAAAAAATTAGCCAGGCATGATGGTGTGCACCTGTAATTCTAGCTACTCGGGAGGCTGAAACAGGAGAATTGCTTGACCCCAGGAGGCAGAGGTTGCAGTGAACTGAGACCGCACCACTGAACTCCAGCCTGGGTGACAGAGCAAAACTCCGTCTCAAAAAAAAAAAAAAAAAAAAAAAGAGATATGGAGAGAGGGAGGTTGGAATGAGGGTCCCTGAATGCCCTAGGCTCAAGGACCCCTTGCCTTGCTGAGCTGCTCCGGAGATGGGCAGGGGTGCAGAGGACATCGCACAGCCTGTGAGCCTTGTTGGGCTGAGTGGCTCCAGCGCAGCTTGACCCCACATGAGCTCAGAAGAGCTCAGCTGGCCGGGAGGCAGCCTGAGCTTGTTTTTCCCAGGTGACTACAACCAAATTGGGCCAGTTCTGCCCTGATCACAGCCATCTGGCCACATCCAGGCTCAAATAGTCCCACGTGAGGGCAGGCCGGCAGCTCGGCCTGAGAGAGGCCCGGCTACTAGAGGGACAGCTGGCAAGGCCTCTGCTAGTGGCACCTCCAAGACAACCATCCTTTTCCTCTGCTGAAAGCCCCTGACCCCCACATCCACACAACTAGCCCCTGACCACAGGTTCTATCTCTGCCCAAAGGGCACCCCTAAGACAGGCCTTCCCTGTCCCCTGTGGCCCCACCTCCCACCCTGCAAGAACTTCCTGCTCTCCGAGAGGATCTGCATTGTTAGGGCTCATGTATTCCGAGTCCTTTTCTGCACTAGAACAAACT